GAAGTTTTCTGCACATGCGTGCACACACACAGACACACACACACACACAGACACACACACACACACAAACCACTCTGGCTATCTGGGCCAGGTGGACCTCATTAATCTTGGAATTTCTTAGCACCTGATAGGACTACAGTATACAGTAACCTTAGGCATGAATAAATTCTTCATCTAGCCCTCATATGCCCCAGGCTAGTACGATCTAGAATAAGAACAAAGTTCCCAGATGGTTCCAGGAGCTGTGCCCACAATCCCTTAGACCAGGTAAGGCTCATCCCACAATATGATAATGTCATGGGCCTGACAGAGTCATTCTCTAGACTAATTAACCCACACAAATACAAGAATACCTGGTTTGTGGTACTTCCTCATTACTTGCTAATTTTATTATTCTGTTTCCCCTCCTTACCAGAGTGGTTTAAAGATCAAATTCTCAAGTCCCCTCAGAAAAGGGGAACTAGTTTTTCTATTGACAATCCTGCCTCTTACCACATTCTCGGCTTAACCTGACTCTAGGTTCACTAAGCTGTCAAAATGTGTACTGTTCAAGTCTTGAGGGAAAACAAGTGGAATGTCTCTGAGAGGGAAGAGCTTGGCTAAGAGACTAGAAAAAATATTCCCCAGGAATCAGAAGAAGAGAGGATTCCAGGGGCCCAGAGCAGAAGGGAACTCAGGTCAGATTCTTGGATGAGGCTAGAAAATCTCAGATTGGAGTATCGTCTGAGAAATTTACACAGTGAACCTTGGGCCTCTACACTTACAGGTGCAACACAGAAACAGGAAGGACCTTTCAGGTTTGATGCACCTGTTACAGGGCAAATGGGCATCTCCACTGAACTTGTCTGGGTAAGTAATTAGAGCTCATAGGACCCTTTACCCTTTACCCCCATCTCCACCTCGAACATACCAAACCACACATACACACACACACACACACACACACACACGCTCACGCACATCTTGGTACAGATTAAAACCACTCCCTAATTTGTTTCACGTGTGATTTCCTTCCAATTTTTGTTTCACAGTTTCTTTGGTTTTCTATTTACATAGATCTGGGGACACATTTACCCCATGACTCCTACCCAAATCATCTTAACTGGATGGTAATTCAAAGCTGAGATTTGAGCAGTTGTCTAGGGACTCTAATTTGCTGGGAGGTATTCTTGCTATGCATTTTGTTTTTAGAAGGGTTTGGAACACAACTGCAGGTCTCCAGGGGCCAGCCTTTGTGGACTGCCAGACAGGGAAGCTTCCACCATTGCAAGAACACCAGTGAAGTTATCACTTTTCAACAATCAAACATCCTCTAATTTGTGAGGAATAAACTCCGAATGTTTGGGAGGAAATTAGGGAAGGAGACTGAAAGTTTACTGAAATAGGGGGAAAAAAGAGTCAGGATAGTAAAGAGGCAAGAAAAGGATCTTAAAAGTTAGAAAGGAAATGCAAAGAATAAAGAGAAAAAGACAAGATTCTTAATGGATTCATCTGCTTCAACAGAATTAAGGAGGATTATTGATGTGTGAAGACTGTGGCATAAAGCAGATACAATTATTAGAAGGTGATAAGAAAAGAATGAGAAACAGGATTATCAAGTTACAAATTCACTGTAATGGTGGGCACATGGGTGGCTCAGTCAGTTAAGTGACCAACTCTTGATTTCAGCTCAGGTCATGATCTCATGGTTCATGAGATCAAGCCCCACATCAGGCTCCGAGCTGACAGTATGAAGCCTGCTTGGGATTCTCTCTCTCTCTCTCTCTCTCTCTCTCTGCTCCTCCCTGACTTGTGCTATTTCTCTCAAAGCAAATAAGTAAACGTTAAAAAAGTATCTATCAAATGAATTATAATGAACTCAAGTTATCCACAGAGCATTCGATTTACATTTAACATCAACATTTATCCAGGAAGCCCAGGAGAACACACAGATAAACTAGTAAGAATAAGACAGGTTTAATAAGGCAGGTGGATACAAGATTAACAAATTTAAAAATCCAGCAAGTGTCTCCACACTTCACAATAAACTCTTCCTGCAACACCTGACTTGGACCCACAGGCCCTTGTGTTGCTCTGCTCTGTGCTTTCAGGGAAGACTCTCTCTGAACAGGAATGGCAGCCAGATCTCTCATTGTGTCAACAGCATCCCACCGAGTTATGTGAAATAAGCTCTCAGTGTTTGAAACAGTCAGTGGAAGAGAGAAGTCAAAAAAACCTTCCAAGAAAAGAAGAAAATGATGAAGACCCAGGAAGACTGGGGGTGTGGGGTGTGGAAAGGGAATGTTCCTGATGGGCTCAAGGAACAAAGGAACAAGACAAAGGGGAAGGTTACAGAGCACACAGATGCCGTCAGAGAGGGAATGGAATCCCCCAGACGGTGGTGTGAGTACGGAAGGGTAGGATAAGCCTCCAATTCTGAATTCCTGGAATGGCAGTCAAAGGGGAAACAGGGCATCTTGAGGCAAAACATGTGAATATGCAGACGACATCCCCATTGGACAAGCTGAGAAACATGAAACCGGTGAGTAAACTGGTTTATTATTATTATTATTATTATTATTATTATTATTATTATTATCATCATTGTCATTATCATTATTATTCAAATAAAAATGACAACGCCAGATCACAGAAACCATGGTTGATTCAATAAAGCCCCATGGAAATCACATTTCACATTCCGAAAAAAAATCCATAGGACTTTGGAATTAGACCTTATCCTGCTTAAATGGACAGAGTCTCTGAACTTTGAATTATTTCTTTCTAATTCCATCAGTTCTCTAAAGCCTGGCATTGCCCCCCTACTCAGATTAGAAAGACACATAACTACCCCCTCACCTGCAGTCCAGGGACAACCTCATGCATCGAAATGAGTCTTCAGGGCCTCCTAGACGTCCTTAGTTCCAGGGGGTGGTAGCCGTGTTGTGAAGATTAAGTTCAGGGACGAAAAGGTCAAAAACTTGAGAGGCTAGAGGAAGAATTTATTTAGAAATGGAAATTTAATGTCAGAACTGAAAATATCAGAGCTTATTGGCTTAAACTCTTGCTACAACTATCTCTGCAAACACAACGGGTGGGTGTGGTTAGATGGCCTCTTCTGAGCACTGTGACAAAGTCTCACCCATGCAAGAGGGACCTGTTCCATGGATAGCTTCAAAACTCAGAAATTTCTCCTCTGTCCTGGTGTTTCCTTGTGAAGCCACAACTCATAATCCCTCATCCAGGCCAGACCTGGGGAGATATGCACACCAGCCAGCAGCCCTCTGAAGACTGCCTTCACAGTGCTTTCAAACACGACCCATAGGACACAGTTTTTACAGCACCCACTACTTACCGACGACCTCTTCTGAAGCCAGTGTAGTTTGTCATTTGTGGAATCCAGCCTTGTGAAAACAGTCACACAAAAGCCTAATCAATCCTGAGTGCTTCAGTACTGTTGCTGCTGGAAAAGGATTGTGGGCGTCTTTGGTGCTTATAGGAGACCTGGTTCATGAGCCACTAGAGGGAAAAATGTAGATGGTAGATAGACAGACAGACAGACAGATAGATAACTTCACTTAAAGAACATATCCAGGTAAGGTTTGGAAAACAGCCTTTATTGCATATGGTATTTATATTTTCATGTGATGCCAGATTGCATGCCGGTTCCTTCATCTTTCTTCACATCATTGGCATTTTATCTGCTACTATCCCCAGGATCCTTTCTTCTCCCTGGAATTGATTAAACACATAAGGCAGAACAGGAAGAGACAAGAAGTGAACGTGAGCTCAGTGAGTCAGGGTGACCCTTCACCTTTGCCTTAAAGCTCAGAGCCACACACACCACACTGTTTTTATTTCCAGACCTACTATAGCAAACGGAAGGTTCTGGAATATTCCCAGATCTCTTGGGGGCTCACTTCCTTGTTTCTCTCCCTCCTCACTCTGCTTTCTTCCAGAGGGCTACATCCATGGGCCGGGATAAGATGCTGGCTTTGGCCGAAGGCTCTCACACCTCAAACCGCTGGTCCTGCTAGGCCCCATGTCCTCTCTCCAGACCACTCCTAGCCCTTGAAGTTGCAATGAGCTCTCATCCCAGAAGGGCTGCTGGCAGTATTTGCTCTTAGAGCTCAGGTCAGTCATGCAGTCAATGAAATAAATGCCAATTAAAATTCTCACTTTCTCAGGGCACCTGGGTGGCTATATCAGTTGAGCATCCGACTCTTGGTTCTGGCTCAAGTCATGCTCTCACGGTTTGTGAGTTCGAGCCCTGTGTCAGGCTCTGTGCTGATGGTGAGGAGCCTGCTTGAGATTCTCTCTCTCTCTCTCTCTCTCTCTCTCTCTCTCTCCCTCTCTCTCTCTCTCTGCCCCTTCCCACCTCCTCTCTCTTTCAAAATAAATTTTAAAAACTCAAAAAATTTTTTTTTCAATTCTCACTTTCTCACTTAAGGAAATGGAGGTCAATTTCCTGGACGCACTGAGTATGCCACAAGCTGATGCCACTGCGGAGCCACAAGGTAACCCAGCGTGGCCATGTAATTCCTTCCCCTAGACTCCCCTGGGATCCCCTGACATCAGCTCAGACCACACCAACCTCAGGCCTTACTTACTTCTCCCAAAAGAAGGCCACACCGTCTTCCAGGAATTTATGGCTCATGGATCTCAATTGCTGTGTGGAAACCAGAACAGAGAAAGACACTTCTTGGTTCAAGAGGAAAGGTGCTCTGTTAGCCCTCGGAAATTTGTAGGACTTCCTGCGGGAGCTGAAAAGCTCGGGATAAATCCCCACTGACAGTCATAACTGTATCAAATGCCTGGACAAGAAGCAAGGGGCCCGCTCACCCACCCCCCTCCTTAAGGTGTCCCCTGAGCTGTCAAAGCTCCCCACTCTCCATTCTGGAGGCATGAGCCTGGATGGGAGAGACAGGAGTGTTGTGGAGAAGGCACAGTGCCCTCACACACTCAGCCCCAGCTCACTTGTTGTCCTTTGGAGAATGAAACACACAGCCTGGGCACTGGCTTCAGGGTCGCTTCACGCGAGGGTCCTCCTGCGCGGGCTGCTCCTTCTCATCCTTTTCTTCCTGCTTCTCTTCTCCCTCCTCCTCGTTCTCATCCTCCTCCTCCTGGGTGCACTCAGGTTCCACGATGCCCGTCAACTGAGCCATGGTGAGGTGGAACACATGGCAGCTGAAGCCCTCCCTGATCCCGTACTGGACATGCTCCTGGAGGACCTCCAAGGTGGAGAAGACTCGGCAGCAGGCCATGCATCGGAAGCCAGTCTCCACGGTCACCAGCCAGTCGGGGGTCTTGGCCCTGGGTCTCTCCTCAACAGTGGGTGAGCCTGGCAGGCTGTCTGACTCTGCCCGCTCCTCGTGGTCCTTGTCCTCCCCGCTGGGCTCGCTGTCAGACAGCAGGTTTCTGGTGGACACATCAGAGGGGGGAGTACCTACCCGCACGTTCTCAGGAAGGGTCACTTCTTCCATCCTCGGCTGCTTCTCTAGTGACTCCGAGGTCTCCTCTGTCTCCCAGGAGACAGCCACACCCTTTTGCATTTGTACCTGCATGTAGTATATTTTCATGCCCCTTTCCTCTTTGTTTCTGTACACAGAGGACACACAGGTCTTATAGGATGAAGGGGACGAGAAGGAGACCTGGTGTGAGGGGGGAGCAGTCTCCCCTCGCTCCTGACCCTGGACTAGGGGTGATCTAGGCTGGGGACTGTCTCGATGTACTCTCCGGATTCCTGGGAAAGGAAATTAGAGACATAAGAACGTGCGTGGGGCCGGCCAGAAGCTGAAGGAGCTTCAAGTGTGGTAGAGGGCAGAGGGGCTCTTGGTGTAAGCAGCTTGGTGTTGGTGTTCATACTCCGGGGCGGTGGGGGGGGGGTGTATCTGGTGGCATCTGCAGGCTGTGAGTGTTTGTAGGGAGACTGGGGGGCGTCTGTGTGTGGGGGTGTGGAGTCAGGTAGCAGGGCACTGCAGAACGTGAGGGACGGTGGTGGGTTGCGCGTGCCATGAGCAGAACCTGAGTTGGGGCTACCATCGGGGTACGTGTGCATGTGGCATGGGGACAGTGGTGGAGAACATGGCACTGTAGATCACGGGCTTGGGGTGTGTGTGCTAAGAATGGACGTGCATGGAGTGAATGGTGGGCGTCAGGCGTGGGGATCTGAACTGGATGGTCTTGCTCCAGAGCCGGAGAGGCCTGTGCTGAGATGCTCCGCCCTTCTCTGGAAGTAAGGATAAAGGCAAAGCCTGCACAGCTCCTCTGAAGGTGCTTAATTCTGTCCCTCAGCCCGACAACTCGAGCTCGGACCTTTCTGGCCCTTGTATCTTAACTTCCCCACTATGATTGCACCAGGGCTCATGCTCCCCCACATGGAGCTTGTATCCACACTCTCCCAACAGCTACGCCATCTTCCCAGGCTCCTCCGTTGAGCCCTGATCACTTCTGACTGTCCTGGATGCCTTCCCAGCTTCTCCTGGATCTGTGTGTCTCCAGCCCCGAACCCAAGGGGCCCCACATCCAAGGAGCCCTGAACGCTTACCACCATGAATGAACTTGCGTGGAGAAGAAACACAGGAGAAGTATTCAGAGGCAGAGGACACCTCCCCTACCCCTGCGCCCCAGCCTTTGGCCACCCCAAGGGATCCAAGCTGAAGGGCATCCTCCTGCGACTTCGAGACTCCTGAGAAAGATAGGAAAGCCTGAGACACCATGGGTGGGGCATGCTAATGCATCACTCATCCATCCAACAAATATTAACAGAGGGTCTGACCCGGGTCAGGTTCAGCGAATACACGTGGTCGACCGTCTGGTCCCCGGTGGATACTCCTGCATTTAGTTACTATCGATAACTATTTTGTTAGTGTCTTGTCAGAAGTGAAGGCCTGAGTGGTGGCTGTGAACAGGATGTCTGACACGTGAGAATAACATGTATCAGTCAAACCTTTCACGCCTGTGGGGACGTTGTGGCGAGCAGGGTAGAAACGCATAGAGCGTTTGGAGCATAGCGTGTGTTCACAACTCAGGAACCGTGCAACATGTCACATTTCCTGATTTATATAATATGGTCTGTATTTATGGTGTGTATTCAATCATTCATTTATCCATTCCTTCAACAGTGTTCAGCTACTATGTATCAGGCACTCTTCTAGGCTCTGGGAATGTCGAACGTTCTGGTAGAAGACAGATACTAATCAGGGTATGCTATGTCAGCTGATGTGAAGTATACAAGGATTCCCAGAGTTAGCAAACAACAATGGAGGACGCCCAGTTAAATTTGCGTTTCAGGTAAACCACAAATAATTTTTATTTGCGAGTGTTCCCATGCAATATTTGGGTCATGCTTATTTTTAGTGTAAGTATGTACCATAGAGTATCTGTGATACACTTCTACTCCAGAGTTTGGTGTAATGGGAGAGGACTTCGATACACATGGATCGTATGTGAACACAGTGGACGAGTGATATGCATATATGCCTATATGCTCTGTACAATTTAATAAAATAGTGTGTGTGCAGATGTGCAATTTTTTTCTCTATCAAAATGTATATGGGTAAGTGACAGGAACCTTACAAGACAGACTTCACAGCTAAGGACACTCTCCCCCTTCTCCCCATTGCTCCCCCTGCCCCATCACACACAAAGAGACAAACGTATCTTGCCAATCATTGCTTTCTCTGTCCTATCCCAGCTGCTGCATCAAAATCCTCCTCCTGTCCAGGCCTCCATTCCCAGGGCCCATCTTACACTCTTCAGGGCCCTGGACCTCGTGGAAGCTGATGAGAGAGCTCTAATTTGGGACAGAAGCCTCCGGCTGGATCTCTGGGGTGGGCTCCACTCTGCCCCACCTCTTGCATGTGACCACCCACTTTCTCAGGACAAGCTACTTGTTTGTGTAAAACGCACGCAGTCACCATGCACCCTAGGAAGTAAATCCACAGCTTTCGGAGCTCCCTGAAAGTCCCTGACTACATTTCTCACTCCCCTCCATCTGGGCATGGTCTGTAAAAGACCCCTCCATTCCCTTGATCTCCTCTGGAAAGCCCACACCTGTAGATTCACAAACTCCCATGGATCAACTGGCAAATTCTTCCTGCTAAAGGAATACGATCTCCACACTTTCGGTATGATGCCATCCCTAGACCATCTCCTTCTGCACAGGCATGTCACTTCTCAAAATGTTTTTGAACAGGCTTCTCTTTCCTCTTTGATGGGTCGATCTCTATCAGCACCCATCACACCCCACACCCAGGGACCCCAGAGGAAAATCACATAAAGAGGATAAAAGAGAACACAGGACTGAGCCTGGGCAAGCGGGACCCCAGCCTGCTCTGAGTCCAGCATAGCTCCAGGCCTGAACAGGCCAAGAGAGAAGTTCTCAGACTGGCAGGGATGAATCCCTGGCTTTTGGGGGGCATCTGGCCTTCCTGTGCCATCTCACACCACCGGGGACCCTCAGGACGGACGCGGCAACATCTGCTGCCCGCCTCCCTGGGGGAGGCACAGACTGGCTGCAGCCTCTGTGCCCCACCCCCAGACAAGGTGCCCAGCACATACCTCCTCCCTGCTCAGCTGTTTCCTGGGACTCTTCATCTTCCAGATGTTTCCTCTTTTGTCTCTGTTTCATGGTACCAGCTACAGAAGCTTCTTAGAAGACACCTAACCCCCAGCTCTTCTTTTCCCTCGCTGGTTGGCCCTTCTTGACTCTCAGAAAATATGATGAAATGGCCCAATATAAGCAAAAATAGGTGAGTCCCCTAAATGGCTGAGGACGTCAGACAGCTCAGAGAACGAACAGCACTGCCCAGGGTTCGCTACAGCACAGGGCTGTTAAGGTTCAAAGGTCACCAGGCCCACAGCAGAGTTCTCTGACCTCACTGATGATGTCAGAGCATTCTGGGGACCTGGATCCCACACAGCCTTTGCAAATGCGGAGACCCCATTTTCAAGAGTCATTCCTTTTTCCCAATGGAACCTTTCCCGTGAATTCAACTCTCATCTTCTTAAGAGTGAAAGGATATTTTGAGATGCGAATCTGTTCTTGTTGATTTTTTTTTCCCTTTCTCCCTTTATTTTTTACCCTTTCCCTTCTGCATTCAAGTGGGAAGCAGGCTCTGGGTTCACTGGCCAGAGGAAAGACGTGCAGGGCTGAAAGCAGCAATACTGTGCTTATCATCTGGGCTTTTATTTCTAAAATCCCAAACTCCACAGAAAAGTGAGGATACTTGAGCAGAAACCTATCAGAAGCAGGAACTTTGAAATTATACACTTACTGTCTTCTTTTCCTGCTAGCTTAAGATCTATATCATCACAGAGAGGTCTGTGGACCATGAAAGAAAAGGAATCTCTAAAGTGCGGTCAGAGGGTTAGATATGGCAAAAACTCTCGGAGTTGATGGCTGTGTTGTGCATATGAGCAGAACCAACCTGTCCCACCCATGACACAAGAGTCACCAAACCAAAAGGAAACATGGCAACCGAGCCACTGGACCTCTAAGCTACAAGTGTATACCCCCCTAAACAGTAATCATGCTCTCACCTCAACCCTCATGACTGTGGCTCTGTATGATTTCTGAAGAGGGATGGGTAGAAATCCAAACAGGACTTCAGCAGGATCCAGGCTTAAAATACAAATTAAGTGGAGTTACAAAAACAATTTCATACTATTTCTTGCACACCTCTGCTCGTGGGCTGAAATGTATACCAGTTATAAGCGGCAACCCATCTGGATCCTTCTGATCCCAGTCTAAAATGAGAGACACCCCCTTTCGGGGCAGTGGCCGTGATCCGGGGGGAGTACTGGTGTGCTGGAATGAGGCAGGCTCCCAGAAGTCCCCACTGGACAAAGGCAAGTCCAAATCTGAAAGGACGTGTGGAACATCAGTCTCCAAGCAGGGAGAGTGAAAACAGGACAAATACCCCCTTGTGAGAATTTGCTGATGAGATTCAATCTTCCTGTTTCTTGGAGAATCCCTAGGTAAGAAGGTGCAAAAAGGAATTTTAAAAAAAACTTTTTGTGGTAGAAATTTTCCAGCATAGAAAAAGTAAAAGAAATTGCACAACAGGGATGTGGTGCCATGGACCTATCACCCAGTATGAACAATTATCAATATTCTCTCATTCTTGTCCCATGCACCACACCCCCTCCCTCACACCACACACATAGCTTTTTGTTCAATTCCTTTAGTTTCAATGTTTGGAGGAGTGTGAGGGGGTTGGGGAGTACTGTATTTTGAAGAAAATCTCAGACATTATATCATCTCTCACTAAATGCAGCAGTATTTATATCCAATAGATAATTGTTTTTTTTTTTTTAACCAGCACTATCATTATCTTATGGAACAAATTTAACCACAATTTCTTTATATCACTTTATAACCAAGCCATACTCCAATTCCCTTAATCATATCAAATGTCTTTTTTATACTTCATTCATTAAAACCAAGATCCAGGGGTATCTGTGTTGCTCAGTTGGTTAAGCATCTGACTCTCGATTTCTGCTCAGGTTATGATGGAGTTCGTGGGTTCAAGCTCCATGTCAGAGCCTCTTTGGGTCAGTCTCCCTCCCCCCACCCCCCCTCAAAAATAAATAAATAAACATTTTTTAAAAAACAGAAATAAATCAAGATCCACACACAGCATGTGGTCAATGTGTCTTTTAGTCTGTGAGAGCTCTTCCTACCTTTTAGGGGGCATTTATTTGTTGAAGAAACTAAATCATTTATCCTGTAGTATTTTCTGCAGCATGGAGTTGGTTGGTTGTATCTTGTGATGTCATTTAAGATGTTCTTATATTACCCATAATTCCTTCCAAACAGGCAGTTAGATCTAGAAAATTAATTAGTTTTCAATTCAGTTTCTCGTTATTGCAAGATTATTTTATAAGTGGTGTTGTGTGCCTTCCGATTAAATCACAACAGTAAGCACATAAGGTTGTCCCATGTTTAACCATGTTGAGATTGATCAGTGGGTTCCAGTGCTGTCAGCTTAGCCCCTCCACCATAACGATCCCATCAGCCTTTCAATATTTAGCATTAGTAAGCCCTAATGATTATGACTTCATCAGGAGTTGAAATTTCATTAAGAGTTCTAATCCCTTCATTCCAAGGAAGACAATTCCCTTCTTTTCCCACTACACCCATTTTGCTCCTCCCCTCTAATAGCCATCAGTTTGTTCTCTATATTTATAGGTCTGTTTCTGTTTTTGTTTGTTTATTTAGAAGAAGGAAGATTCTTAAGGCATGTTTCCTAGATCCAGAATTTCTCAAGGAAGCAAACCTCTCTTCACAAAAGAAAAGATTATTCCAGTGGTACCAGTGCAGATTCTCCACGCTGGGACATACTTTACTCGTTCCTTCATTTCTTCATTCTTCATTCTGTAAATGCTTATTGAGTCTCTACTATGTGACAAGCTCTCTAGATCCTGCAGTTGAACAGTTATGAACAAAACAGACAAAAGCATTTTCTCCCAAGGAGTTTAATTCTGGAAGACAAGACAGGTCATCTTTTCAAATACATCAAATATGTAGTAGGTTAGATATTGACAAGTAGCATGAAGAAAAATAAAACAAACTGAATTTGGGTCTGTAAGAAATGGGTCATTTCTATGTTAAATGGGAAATCATGGAAGCCTTTACTAAAAAGATCCCTTTTCAGTAAGACCTGAGAGAAATAAGAAAGTTTACAGCTAAGGTTCTATTTTCCACACAAAAAGAAGAGGTTAGAGCCCTGGATCAAGGGTTGCTTGGCCTGATAGACTATCACCAAGGAAGCCAGTGTAACCAGAACTGAGAGCCGAAGAGAACGGTAAGAAAAGAGGTCAGATAGATAATGAGGGACCAGATAGTAAGCTATTGTCAAGACTAGCTTTTATTCTGAGTGACATGGGAAGTGTGGAGAATCTTGAGCAAGCAATTACATTTAAAAAGATCATTCTGCTCTGTTAACAATAGCCAACTGGTAGTTAAGGGCAGAATCAAGAAAACAGGGGATCTATTGGGGCACTAGCATGGCTCAGTCTGTAGAGCAAGCAACTCTTGATCTCAGGGTCGTAAGCTCAAGCCCCACATTGGGTGTGTGGCCTACTTAAAAAAATAAATAACAGTGGTCCTACTGCAATTATCCAGGAGAGAGATGATCCACAAGATGAAAAATAAATAAACTAGACTTCATGAAAACTAAAACCATTTGCTATGTGAAAGGTTCTTTTAAGAGTAGGAAAAGACAAGCTAGAGACTGAGAGAAAATATTTGCAAACCTCATATCCAATAGACGTAATATCGGTAACATGTAAAGAACTCCCACACTTGGAGTAAAAAAGTAAACAATCTGATTAGAAAATGGACAAAAGACAGGAAGAGATGTTTGAGTAAAAAGGATGTGCAGATGGAAAATAAGCATATGAAATGATGTCTAATGTCTTTCGCCATTAGGGACATGCAAATGAAAGCCACAATCAAACACCCCTATATACCTATCACAGAAGTTTAAATAAAAAAATTGTGACAATACAAAATTCTAGCAAGAAAGTAAAGAAACTTGACCATTCAAACACAGCTGGTGAGGACGTAAAATGACAGCCACTCTGGAGAAGACTGTGGCACTTTCTTAAACTAAGCATACAAGTACCATCTAATCCAACAATTACACTCTTGGGCATTTATCCCAGAGAAATGAGAAGGCTGTTCATAAAACATATCCTTGGATATTGAGAACGGCTAATTCATAACAACCAAAAACTAGAAACAACTCAGGTCTTTCAGTGAGTGAATGTTTAAGTAAACCGTGATACATCTATACCATGGAATTCTACCCAGCAATAAAAGAGGAATGAACCTGGATGAATCTCCAGAGAACTATGCTGAGAGAAATAAAGCCAATCCCAAAAGCTTACATTCTAAATGATTCCATTTATGTAACAGTTTGGAGATGACAAAATTATAGAAATGGAAAGTGGGTGAACAGTTAAGTGGTTAAGGGGTAGTATGTAAGTGTGAGAGGGAAGTACGTGTGGCCATAAAAATGGCATCATGAAGTATCTTTGTGGTCATGAAAATGTTTTGTGTCTTGATTCTATCAAGGTCAATGTCTTGGCTGTGACATTATACTATAGTTTTGTAATATGTTTCAATTGGCCAAAGTGGGTAAAGTTTACATAGGATCTCTCTGTATTATTTTTTCCACAGCACGTGAATGCATAATGATCTAAAAATTAGTTAAGTGAGCTTAATTTAAACTAGTTATTTAATTGAGTTAACTAAAAATTAGTTTAATTAAAAAAAAACTGGACTAGGAGTACTTGTTTAAAAATAGAGGTGGCTGGCTATGGGATTCAGGTATAGAATTAGCTTGCTTCTCCAAACAAATTTTTCTTAGCACCTGTGCAAGTATCCATGGAAGGCACATTGAGTAAACCCTCTTGGCTATCCATGGGAGAGCAAGAAAGCTACTGGAAAAAAAACACTCCATAAACCAGTGTAAGGCTCAAAAGTTATCCTCAGGAGCTGCTAGACTAGCAGCTAGAAGGACCTTGAAGATCTCTAATCGAATCTAAGATTCTGGCACCAATTCTAACGTGCAAGGGAGTGGCTTCCCCAAGCAATACTCCAACACCAGCTGTGCATTCTAC